AACTACATGCTTGATCTAATATTCATGCCCTGGATAGATTTTTTCCTTGACCTAATATGACCTTGAATGTGACCTTTGACATGACCTCTCCTGGTCTCATGGTGTCCTTATTGACTGTGTCACAAAATTTCATGAACTCTACAATGTTCACATGGTGACCTCATTGACTGTGTCACAAAATTTCATGAACTCTACAATGTTCACATGGTGACCTCATTGACTGAGTCACAAATCTTCATGAACTCTACAATGTTCACATGGTGACCTCATTGACTGTGTCACAAATCTTCATGAACTCTACAATGGACCGTGACAGATCGTCATCAGGATTACCCTCACTTGTTACCACTGCTTTCCGTCCATACTCTTTGGCCTGAAAAAATAAAAGACAACATAAAAGACTGCATTTTTTTTCTTCTTTTTTCTCCCCCATTATGCAACATGCAACATAATTTGTGTCATTCAAAATATTTTATTATGAAACAGATCATTTTTTTTATTCATAATTATATATACTTTAAATATAAATCAAAATAATCCAAAAATGTTTGTAAAAAAATGAAAACATACATAATTTTCTTTGCAATTATTTCTTTACAGATAACATTTTCTAAATCTAAGAAGAGAATTCTTACAGAAAGGGTTAGGAATGCCTTAGTAAAATTTTATCAGTTGATGTTGTTAAAGCATGTCAAGTATGAAAAAAAAAAAGCATATCACAGAATCATTCTGCCCCTTTTAAAAACTTTTCAACCTACTGAAACTTACCTTCTCCACTTCATGTAGTATAAAATACAGCATAGCCAAAGCATGGCAAATCTTTGCAACAATTTCAGGTTTTTTATTTGACTGTTGATCTCTGATGTCATATATGGCATTTAGGACCTGTTTGGCTTCTGCTTCCTGGGCCTCATCTAAATTATATGTTAAAAATAATTAGAAAATATCATGATAAGTGGTTGACAGTGTCATTCCAACTGCCAGTCAGATAGGATAACTATAACTAAGTTATATACTATTATACCCCTACAGTACTTTAAATACCTTGAGAAAGATAATCAGGAAAAAATCTTTCCCAAAGTGCACTGCTGTAACAGGGGCGGATTTAGGCTGTCTTCTGGGTCTTCTGGAAGACGGTCAGATTTTCAAGTTTACATTGATGGGTGTCTAATTTTTTCTGTCGGAAGACGGTCAAAAATAAAGGGCGAATCAACAAAGATAATTTGGAAGACTCAGAAAATGTCTCTGGATCCGCCCCTTTGTAAGTATTTGAAAATAACAGATCTTAAAAAATAAACAAATAAATTATATATATAAAATAAAATAATGTAAAAAAAAAAACTTAATGAAATATTGGAAAATATAGGGTGTATAAAAATTCTGAGATATTACAGCACATAAATATCAAAATCGCAGGATGGTGTAGAGCAAGCTCACAGACATGCTTATGAAAGGAGGCCAACAGGCCGCTGATGGACAATGGCAAAATTCATTCATTCATTCAAATATCAAATACCACAGACACCAATTTCCAGTCAGTTATAGACCACTCACCCAGGCCCTCCTCTTCCTCTTGGTTTATCTCCATGGCAATGGCTCCTATCCCTGTTGTATCTATGGGTGTGGCCGTTCGAACACTGACTATCTTTTGTAAGTAGTCATACCAGCTATCTGTGACCTGGAATATACACAATATCACAACTAAAGCAATTGTAAGTAGTCATACCAGCTATCTGTGACCTGGAATATACACAATATCACAACTAAAGCAATTGTAAGTAGTCATACCAGCTATCTGTGACCTGGAATATACACAATGTCACAACTAAAGCAATTTTCAGTGATCACACCTGCCTAGCTATGGCCTGGAATGTGCACAATACGACAACTGAAGTAGTAACTGTTGTATCTCGCTGACAAGTAATGAGAGCCATTGTGTGAATGTAATAAAATTTTGGCACTGAGGGAAAAAACACTACTAAGAACTACCACAATTATCACTACAAACTACAGTAATTGCTACTACTTCTACATTACCACAGTAACAGCTACTACTGTTGCTGTTACTACTACTACTAACAATAATACTTCTACTAAAAAAATAATAATGATAATACACAGAGAGTCTACTACTTCAGTTTGTATGAAAAAAAAACTATATTTTAAGACTTAATCTAGCATACATAAAGTGTGCTACTTAGAGTGTGCTACATAGAGTGTGCTACTGTTCTGTTTAAAGAAAACTATCTATAGACTTACCCTAGCATATAGAGAGTCTGCTACTTCCATTCTGTTTTGTCTAAAGAAAACATTTGCCATGTGGAAATATCCCCCACTTGTCCTAATGTCATCTGGGGAAAACTCCATGGAGGCATGGAAAATCTGGGAAAAAAAAGGTGTAAATTAAGATCTAAAACAGTCCAATTATCTTGTTTGCTACTTACACTGCAATAAAATTGCAATGTTGTGTATAGCTGATGGCTGCAGAAACTGTACATGTAAGCGGCATATCTGATATGTTTAACACGTTTTAAAATAATCCTCACAAAATTTAACACAACCTGCACTCACAACTCAGATCTTTTAAAAATCCTCAAATATAATTAGTGCATTCAGAACAGTGGACTTACAGATCTGTGGATCAAATATGGCCGACCCACTTGAATGCTTGTTGTGCAATCCCTGCAGGGAATCTATTCAGTGTCTAATCAGGAATTAAGTGGCAAGCTTTTTAGTGGGTTGGCATATTTGATCCATGGATCTGTTAGTCTGCTGTTCTGAATGTGCTCAGTGAGAAAGCACAACTAGCACAATTGGAAAATCTCAACTAACACAATTGGGAAAAAACTCACATCATCAGCTAACTGCCTCAGTGACTCCTCATACTCCCCCTTGGCAGCATAGAGCAGTCCCAGGTTCCTGTACAGTTTGGACTTGATGGCATCTGAGCACTCGGGGGTCTTAACCACTGTCCACTGTGCCTGCATTAGGTACTCCTCTGCCTGGGATAGTCTACCTAAACCTGGGGAGAGGGAAGGTTTTATGAAGATAATTGGATGTCCAATTGTGATACTAATAAATGTTTTTTTTTAAATTATATCTATTAATACTTACAATGTCATTCAAGAGACATTCACTACAGAGAAGTCCTTCTCCTTGTGAAGACAATGTTGACCAGGAGAACTAGAGTTCTAGAGTGTCATCCAGTTCTATGCCAGCTAAACCATAAAGTTCTATAGCAAATCACAGCACTCACCTATGCTGGCTTCTCCCAGTATTAAATATGAAGGCACCAGTTCTATGCTAGCTAAACCATGGACTTCTATAGCAAATCTCAGTGACTGCATTGCAGCTGGAACGGCTTGCTCATGTCTCCCCTCAAACAAAAGCTTCTGCCCTGTGGTTCTGGTCAGATCTATCATGTGTCTCTGAAATTAACATATTTTTTATGTTAGATTACATTAGATTATGTTAGATGTTTATATTAAAAATATCTATTTGAAGCACACCATTATTAGTGTTTTAATTCCAGCATCTTAGTAATTAAAGAAAACTGATACAAGTACTTCCTTAAATAAGCAAAGTAAATTACACTTTGGAATGAATTCAATTAACTGAAAAAGTTCCAATATAATAACATTGATAATTTCTGCCGCAGTCTCAGTACAGAGTATTTAGAAGCCAAGATGGATGTAGGTGATAATGATAATAATAAAGTAAATAAATACAAATAATAAAAATTGAACAAATAAATAAATAAATAAATAAATAAATAAATAAATATGCTTCAAATCAATTTATTTTGAAAAAAAATTACACTCTCTTTTTTACCATCAAACCAAATGGACTTCTGGACAAATAACCTTTAGATTAAGGCTTCATTCACATGCAATGTCTATTTTCTAAATTCTATTTTCTATTTGCGGTATGTCTTATGATCACGGTCTGTGCCCTGAATATCCCGCGGCGTAATTACTGGCAGCGCGAGCCAGTTACTATAAGTTACTATAAGTAACTGGCTCGCGCTGCCAGTAATTACGCGGCGGGGTATTCAGGGCACAGACCGTGATCATAAGATAGCGCGAATAGAAAATAGAAATTAGAAAATAGACATTGCATGTGAACGAAGCCTAAATCAGACAAATGCAAATCTCTTTAGAATTGTACCTGTCTCTGTAATAACTGGTCCTTTCTATGTTGTCTTTCTTCGTCTGAAGCTAGGAAGGGGATGGGTGTTCTCAAAGGAATCAAGAGCTGGCAAATCTTTTCATGGATCCCCAACCAGTCGGCTTTCTGATGCTCTACACCACTGAAAAATTAACAGCATACATAGAAATATCATGGGGTACACACTGCCATAACAATCTTCTCTACAAGGAAATCACCTATGCATCTTATTATTAATAATGTTAAAATTTACATAACTGATATACACTAAAATCCACTATCATGTACTCTTAATAACAACATCTTTTCACGGTGGAGTAATTTACGGGGGTATATAATAATGAGATGATGCAGTGCAGAGACGTTTGCTTTAAATTTGCAGAAAATGAAACCAATAGGGGCCTTTGTTCTATGCACTATTGTTTGAATAAAACTAAATCCCATGATAAACACACTTGTTTTACTACACTTCAGAAATCCCTCAAAATCGGCACCCAAATTAAAGTAACCTTAAAAGAAAAACAACAGACAAACTATTAGAGTATGAACACGCTTAGTTGAAAATGGGAGGCATTTTCACTTACCAATAATATGTAACTCTACATTTTGTACACTGTATAAAAGCCGGTTTCTGACACAGCTCACAGACGAGCTTTACACCTTTCGGGTTGGCGAGAGGATTAAGAGTCATACTTGATAAAAAGGGGATCGATACCCCGAAATTGCAGGATATTTTATAGAATTGTTGTCGCTCTGTTGCTATCCTGTGCGAAAGCGAGGCTACACAAGAATCGCACATAATGTATTTTATAGCCAATCATTGCTCACCAAAAGGTCAACTCCGTAAAACTAGGGCAAATTTGGAAATATGGCGGACGGAGAGGGCGAGAGTAGTGAGATGTTTTATTATTTTATTCGAAATGACAGTTTCTTTTCAGTATTTAATGTGTTAAATGAAACTGATAAATTCAGTTGCTGTTGTTATTCAAAAATTTTAATTAATTTTTTTCTGGTGACGTAACTGATTCATTGTGATATTGTAACGCAAATGTATGAGGAAGACTCATAAATTTAATTCACTATTTTTAGTCTTTGGACTACTTGTAGAGTACTTACAGTGACTTCAGCTTTGGATAATTAAATGTTAATGCGCTAGAAGTGTCTTATAATACGCAGAAAAACCAATGTAATTGCCAAGCAATTTTATTTCAGTAGCAGAGACACATCAAATTCACAACATAACTGAATCAAGGAAAACATTGAAAATCAAAATTGCGCGTTTGTGTATGTGTGTGTGTGTTTTGGGATGCTGCTTCATCTGCATGAGTACCAATAATTTTGTACATTGGAATTCGTTTTGAGTAAATAGAGTAATAACGATGCAAATTTCTCCTTGGTTTTCCAATTAGACCACTTTGTCAGCATGTCCACAGATGAGGAAGAAGATGACAGACAGCCTGAAGAAGAAGTCCAAGAAATGGTTCAGTTAGATCCCACAGCTGTAGATATAGACTTGAATCACAGCAGAATAGGAAGAATAGAGAACTTGGAAGTGCTTACTTGTGTAGAGGTGAGTTGGTCTTGTTGAATAAAGTGTTGGTTTTCACTAGGGAATTTTTGCTATCTACACCCATGACTGATGTCTATATTTCTTTCTTTGATACACAAGAGATTTGGCAGTGCAAGTGACTATCTCTCATGAACTAAATTATTTAAGAAATTGTTTAAAAATATTGAAACCAAGTGCAGATATTGGTCCTGCAATGGTTTATAAATGTGGGATAATGATTTTTTTTTTTTTTTTTTGTGGAGAAAAATTCAGTCTGGTGGGAAAATTCCACATATAATAACTAAATATGTATGTTCATAGGAAATGTTCTGTTGTATTGAGAGAAGATAAATAAATTTGGTAATTAAATAACCCCCTTTTTTACATATTTCAGAGCATATGTTTCAGAAATAATTTAATCAAAGCCATTGAGAATGTGGCTTGCGTGGCACAAACGCTCAGAGAGCTGGACCTCTACGACAACCAGATTACTAGAATTGAAAATTTAGATGCTTTGGTGAACTTAGAGTGAGTAGCCAGTGTGTACATTTTTATGCTTAAGTGGGAGAAACTGGGCCAGGCATATTCTTTTCAAACAAATGTTATTTTAAATCTGTAATAAGATTCACAAAGAATATAATGATTTTTTTTGTCTCACTCACTCTTTCTGTGTCTCTATTACTCTCTCTCTCTCTCTTGCCTATTTAAAAAATAGATTAACTAATTAATTAATTATGTGTTCTTCTTGTATTAGATTTATTTTTTATTTAAATTGGCATTGTGGATGGATTGGCTAAACTGACTATCAAACAGATTGTCTAGGTTTTACTCATGGTCTAAAAACGACAGCATAGAAAAGAAAGAGATTAAAATTTCAAGCAAAGCACATGTCAATTTGAATGAGCTAATGTTGCTTTTATGTTATTAAAAAAAGTTTTATCTGTTATTTCCAGAGTCCTTGACCTGTCCTTCAACAGAATACGGAAAATAGAAAACTTAGACAACCTTACAAAACTGAAGAAACTCTTCCTTGTACAGAACAAGATAGGAAAAATTGAAAACATATCTCAGCTAACAAGCCTTGAAATGTTAGAACTTGGGGCAAATAAGATTAGGGTATGCTGTTTTACAATTCATCTGGACATTTTAGAATTACAGATATGTTTTTGAAAAAAATGACAATTTGCATACTATTATTTTTTTTAAATTAATTTTTGTGACAATTTATGCATTCCTGTATATCATTCACAATCTCAAGACAGTAGAGAACATTATGAACTGGACTAGCCTGATTATAATAACTTGAAGCAATATCAAATGTATTGCCTTGTTTTGTAATGAAAAACTTTTCCTTTAGCTTACAGTATGTGAAAAAAACTTCTTAGCTTTCTGAAATATGACAGTCCGTGAAATTATGATATCACTGTTGACAACGAAGTCCATGATTATTTATATCTTTTTTTAATCTCCGCAGGTCATAGAAAACATAGGGTCCTTGGTGAAATTAGACAGTTTGTATATTGGCAAGAATAAAGTGACCAGAATCTCTGGACTGGACACTTTAGAGAACCTTACAGTCCTTAGTATGCAGGTAGGTGAAATATTCTCCAAAGATGATTTTTTTTCCACATAAGTAACTTTGAGTGTGAGAACTCTTAGCAGTCTGTGCTAAAAAAAAAAATGTACCCTGATGGCCATTCAAGATGACAGGGTCTAAGAATCAGACCCAAAGCTAAAACAGTATGGCCTCTGTCTGAATAAATGCACAAATTTTCACTGGCTGATTTACTGGCATTTGACATAGGGATAGTATTAATGTTGTTGTCAGCTCAAGTTCTTAGTGTTATTATTGATATATATATATATATCCCAAGAGTGTCATGGTTGATGAAAGACTTGTGAAATGATGACAGTACTTCTGATGGAAATTAATTCAGAAAACAGGGAGTATAAGGAACTTTATTTGAGTAAAGAATATTTGATTTCAGGACCATTGATAATAATAATAATTTTTATTATATTTTTTTCAGAGCAACAGGATAGTAAAAATGGAAGGAATGGAGAAACTTGTAAATCTAGATCAGCTTTACCTCAGCCACAATGGGATAGAAGATATAGAAGGTTTAGACAAAAATGTAAGTACTCATGTTCTTTCAATGTTTCTTACAAAGTTTGGTATTTGTAATATCAGTACTTGAGATTTTGTAATGTCCACCATTTCCCCTCTGTTCTGTCAAGCATAGATGTCTATAAAACCAATGCACTTGAATATCGTTATCTACAATTATAGGACTACTGCCATATCTTTGCTTGAATGGGATAGCGACAACACTTGCCAATTTAGCCAAATGCTAAAACTGACTTAAATTGGCTAAATAAAATGGGCTTGATTTGACTGGTTTTAGTATAATTTAATCCATTTGGATAACAAATTGACAAAACAGTGATGATTTGGCTAAGCGAAAAAAAAAAAAAAAATTGCTAGCAGTATCCCAGCTTGAGATTTTATAATGTCCACATTTCATTCCAGACCAAACTGACCACGCTGGATCTGGCTGGGAACAGGATTAAGAGGCTACAGAACATCAGTCATCTTGTAAAACTTGAGGAGTTTTGGGTATATTATTGATTTTTTTTTTTCTTTAAGAGATGGTGTACTTATTATGTAAATTGTATTTTGTATTATTATGATCTTATAATACACAATTCTTTTTATATTATATGAAGCCTGATTTTGTTTAAAGGATGCTTTTAGGACTAGTCTAGACTAGACCAATGCAACAATTTAAATTTATGTAAATACGGACTGCTTTATCTCTCAGCCTCCTCTGCTTATATAAGCATTATATTCTTGCAGGCCCTGTACCACAGTCATGTTGTAATCCACATATGCATAGGATTTTTGTAAATTTAACTTGTAAATTAACTCATTTTGTATATTGAGTATTGTTACAGTAGTGTTACTGTAGAAAGCCTGCAAATGTGAAAACCTATCATTTTGCCATTAATAAATTTTCATTTCGTTTATTTCATTTATTTTTAATAAATTTACTTATTTTAATAAATTTACTTATTTATCATTCCAGTTCAATGACAACCACCTGGAATCCTGGGAAGATTTGAACCAGCTGACCCCTCTGAAGAACCTGCAGACGGTTTATCTGGAGAGGAACCCCCTGTGGCGGAGTGCTGAGGACCCCAGATCACCTGATCCTAACTACCGCAGGAAGGTCATGCTCACGTTGCCATGGTTACAACAGATAGATGCGACCTTTGTGAGATAAAATTACTCTGGGTTACATGTTAATTTTGATAAACCATGCACAAATTTGAAAAAAAAAGGTTTGCTTCATGTGTAGGTATGATTTGGCTTGCCACAGGTGTGAAACTTTGAGAACTGTGACTGGTAATTATTCATCTTTTTCAAACCAAACTGATATTTCCTGTATTGAAAGCCGTGTTTGTTTGAGATTTCTAAAAGTTATGATTTGTAAGTTCTGAAAGTTAAGGTGGGTTCGTTTTGAGTTACAAAGAAATTGTCAATCTTGAAAGTATATTAGCAAAATTATTGAAGATGTCGCTGTGATTTTAAAATTATTAGTACCACCAGCGTGTANAAAAAAAAAAATTGCTAGCATTTCCCCAGCTTGAGATTTTATAATGTCCACATTTCATTCCAGACCAAACTGACCACGCTGGATCTGGCTGGGAACAGGATTAAGAGGCTACAGAACATCAGTCATCTTGTAAAACTTGAGGAGTTTTGGGTATATTATTGATTGTTTTTTATTTATATTTTAAGAGATGGTGTTATTATTGTGTAAATTGTATTTTGTATTATTATGATCTTATAATACACAATTCTTTTTATATTATATGAAACTTGATTTTGTTTAAAGGATGCTTTTAGGACTAGTCTAGACTAGACCAATGCAACAATTTAAATTTATGTAAATACGGACTGCTTTATCGCTCAGCCTCCTCTGGTTATATAAGCATTATATTCTTGCAGGCCCTGTACCACAGTCATGTTGTAATCCACATATGCATAGGATTTTTGTAAATTTAACTTGTAAATTAACTCATTTTGTATATTGAGTATTGTTACAGTAGTGTTACTGTAGAAAGCCTATCATTTTGCCATTAATAAATTTTCATTTCGTTTATTTCATTTATTTTTAATAAATTTACTTATTTTAATTAATTTACTTATTTATCATTCCAGTTCAATGACAACCACCTGGAATCCTGGGAAGACTTGAACCAGCTGACCCCTCTGAAGAACCTGCAGACAGTTTATCTGGAGAGGAACCCCCTGTGGCGGAGTGCTGAGGACCCCAGATCACCTGATCCTAACTACCGCAGGAAGGTCATGCTCACGTTGCCATGGTTACAACAGATAGATGCGACCTTTGTGAGATAAAATTACTCTGGGTTACATGTTAATTTTGATAAACCATGCACAAATTTGCCAAAAAAGTGATTTGCTTCATGTGTAGGTATGATTTGGCTTGCCACAGGTGTGAAACTTGGAGAACTGTGACTGGTAATTATTCATCTTTTTCAAACCAAACTGATATTTCCTGTATTGAAAGCCGTGTTTGTTTGAGATTTCTAAAAGTTAGGATTTGTAAGTTCTGAAAGTTAAGGTGGGTTCGTTTTGAGTTACAACGAAATTGTCAATCTTGAAAGTATATTAGCAAAATTATTGAAGATGTCGCTGTGATTTTAAAATTATATTTTAACTTTTTAAATTACTACAAACTGGCCCTCCATGAATACTTCCCTCAGCATATGGAAAAATATCAGAAGTACTAAGTAGTTTGAAATCCATGAATTATTTCCATACTACAGAAGCCCTTTGGAGTATGACTTTCTCAATATTAGTGAAATTGTTCAAGGAAAGTTAATATACCATTTTTTGAGTTGTTGGGAGATGATCACCTTCCCTGGCATCAACCAGAATAGTTAGCACATTGCATGGTGCAGCAGATTAGTGTTGTGAACATTATGTGCTTAATTATTTATTTATTTATTTATTTATTTATTTATTTATTCTTATCTCTGCCAACAAAGGAAGTTATGTTTTGGCGAAGTTGGATTGTCTGTTTGTTAGTGGTGAGAAATTGCAAAAAAATGATTTCCAAGTTTTGATGAAATTTTTACAATTGACAGTAATTTAAGATGAAAAAGAAGTGGACAATTTCAACTTAATTTGGGTCTGCTGATTTTTTTTAAATGGTCTTAAATGCCTTTTTCCATGTCCTTGGTAGATTTCTGTGCTTGTATAAATTGGTTTAGTAGCTCTGCACTTAAGTTTAGATATTTTTAATGCTATTTTCCACAGTACAGCAGTACTAGGTGTTAAAGTAAAAGCTTGTTTGATTACATATTTATCTAACAAAGTTGTTATATGTATATATTTGTACATGTTATATCCTGCTAGGCAATTAAATTGCACCAGTTGGTATTTTTAAGTGGAGATGACTGTAATAAAAGGGTACCTATTTTAGTCCTATGGTTTTGCTCCTTTTCAGAAACCTTACAGATTTTCTTATACCATTCATGAGACCATTCTTAAACAAACCAACAGGTATCTTCTGTCAATAATTATGATTTTATTCATTGTGTTGATTGTTAGGTAGGGATTAGGTTTAAAGCTTATCTGAACCTTGGCCTTCTGTGAAGGTCATCTCAAAGGTCACCTCTTGATTCTTATTGTGTGCCATAGCATTAAGTGCATATGCTGAGTGTTATATTTTCAAGTAGGAGACGTGTAATTTTGTATCAGAACAAACTGAATGATAAATGTCTTAATGTTATTGTTATTTATCAGATTCTCTTGAACATTTGTTGTTGGTTTGGTAAATTTATTGGCCTTTGTGTAGTATTGGCTGTTTACCAATGTGTAAAGAAAATGTGGGATATGAGGTTGAAAAAGTTTTGGAACCTTTTGGGAGGAGGAGGATGGGTGATAAAAAGTTTACATCTGTGGCACATCTTGTTAAATTCTTGCGACTAATCTTTACTTGATTTTGATCCTGTAGCCAAATCCTATATTGGAATGTTACGGTACCGTATCATTTATTTAAAATTTTTGGTTAAAGGAAAATGAAACATTCCTTAAAATCATTTATTAACCTCAGGGCTGCATAACATAAATGCAAACGTGTACAATGTTGAAAATATACATAAACATATGTAAAAAAATGCCCATTAGCAAACAAGTAAACCTTGCCAGGGAATTTCTGAGTCAAAGGTAAAAATAATTTGTGAAAGACGAAGAAACTATCAATCCTAATCCATGCTACTTAGAAGATAATTTAATCTGAAAATAATCCAAGTGCTTTGCAATTTCAAATTCGAAAAAACTACAAAATGGAAGCATATTTGTAAGTAAAAACAATCCAAGTGGGTAGTAATAAATACTAGATCTTCTATAAATATTAAAGAGTTCATAATAAAAAAGGCTGGTTTTGCCTACCCATTTTCTGTTTGTGTCCAATAGTACACAAAGTCCAGGAATTCTCAATTTAGGAATGTCCAGCACAAGTTTTTAAAACCAGTCTTGCAAAGGGCATGAAGTGCCAGTGAGGAGACTGGTCATTCCCCCCAAGTCTAGCAAAGAAAACGTTTCCAGCATTTAAAATGATGGCAATTTGTTTATTGAAACTTGTATGGCTGGGCAGTACTACACTTTTTTTATCACAGGAAATGTCCCTTTTTCCCTTCCTTTTCTTCTGTATAAAAAAATCCCAGTGTATCATTTCTTCTAACATTTCACAATAACTTAGTTTACCCAACTGAATACTCTTTTGAGGACATGGATTCTTAACAGGGATTTTCTCAAGTTGGAAACTGATGGCAACTACAGTAACAGCAACAATACAGTGCCACAAAAGAAGCGAAACTGCCATAAGCATTTGAATACTACCTTCTTGGACCCATTCAATATTGTGGTGACGCAGTGAAATAACAACAACAATCCTGATTTTACACACAACCATGTGACCATGGAACCCGACATATTTAGGTAAAAAACTTTTTTTTTTTTTTAGTGTACAAAAACTGTGTATGATGATTTTAAACAATAACCCATTTGGTTTGAATAAAATGACCTATAAATATGACCCAACAGCATCAAGTTGACAATTACACTTTTCCAACAAAATTTTCCGTACTTAGAAAAAAAAATACTGACCTAGAAATATTTCATGATGTCACTGTTCACAAATGCTTTAAAATCCACTTCATAATCCACAATATGTTGCCAATCTGTTAAACACAGGCATTCATGACCTAAATATTTCCATTTTTAGTTTTACCTTAAAAACTTGTGCATTTTTAAACAAAAATATTTAAAACTGCTTAATATACAGTTCATCACAAAATGCTCAACTTTCTATCCAATTTGTTTACAACTATAACCCAAATATCTCAGTATATAGCACAATACAACTCAGATGAAATATTTAGTTGTTCTTATAATAACTTAAACCAAGAGTTTTACTCTTTCAAATGTCTCATTTATACTGTCTAGTATTTTACATTAAAATTTCAAGATTTATCATTTTTTACACACAAATACATAGTCTTACACAAAGCTCATTAACATTTTAAAACTTTTGAATCAACATTTTTTAAGTATTACTAAACAATTTTTCTTTAGTAAAAATCAATGAAACAGATTGTTCAAATATACTGTCAATGAGTAATTGCTTGTTTTGTACCTGGAAGTTTTGACACAAGATGACGCTATAGTCACCCCCCCCCCCCTCCCCTATTCCCACTGATTACA